GAATACGCTCCTCATCCTCCGCCACACGTGGAGCCTTTATCTCATCCTTGATTGTCGGTTCTGGTTGTTGGGACTGGTCCAGAGACGCCAGGCGAGTTTCCTCGCATACTAGGAAGACTGAAGAGCGCGTCTTTCTCTTCCTGGGTCATGGCTACCAGTCCCCTTGGAACCAGGGTAGGCTTTTCTTCTTCTTTCGGATCCAAGTGGTTCAAGATCCCGAGACGACGATTCACTTCTGCAATTTCTTCCTGTGTCATCGGGATAAGTTGCGGATGGCCCTCTTTATGCGGGGTTTTGCCCCTGTTGGGGCTCAGGCCTTCGTTGTTGCCAACGGGGCATCCTGGCCTGTGGTTCTGGAACGGCTGGGAACAAGGTCCGCATGCTGCGTGAGGCCTATACTGCTTGCGCGCCGCGATAATATCTCGCAACTGAGTCCGCGCTTCTTGAATTTCAGGGCGGCGGATATTTGTTGCAAGCTGATAGCCTCCGCGAATGGCCTTGCCATCACTGTCCCTATAGGCAGGGTTGCCCTTGCCGAAGGCCGAGGTACGGAAGTAGCTGGCCACCTCTCCTGAGAGCGTGTTCTTTTGGGCCAGCCTGCCTCCACTCACGAGGAAGTCGAGCCTGTGGATGTGGCTCTTCTCTGACGCGCGCATGGGAACGAGATCTCCCGGTGTTCCCATCAGAGGAAGCTGCCGAAGCAGCAGGAGCGGCACCCGGTGAAGGTGCCTGAGGAGGCTCCTGTGCGATCCCAGATGGATCGTCCGATGGAGGCAGGTCTCCCTGCTGGGTGGAGCTCGGCGCAGATGGCGCTTGTGCCGATGGTGATGATGATTCAGACTCATCAGGATCGAAGTCAACCTCTTCCTCACCATTCACGTCCATCATGAGGATGGTGACGTCATCCTCATCTAACCCGCAACCATCGCCTTCTACTTCTTCTGATGTCGAACGACCGATGATGATGGCCATTGGCGTATCTGGTACAGGCAGGTTTCCCTGCATAGCCGGCGTCTGCGCGTCGCTCGGCTGTCCCGGAGTAGGAGGCACTGTTGTCGGCTCAGGCTCGTTGCCGAGCACAGGCTGCCCAGCAATGTTACGCATGGCCGTGTGGTTTGGCCTCATTCCCACCGCCTGGAGACCCCATCCTGGCGGAGGAAGATCATGACCGCGCATAGCAATAGCCATTTCTAGAGCATTACGCCATCTACCACGGGAGTATATCAAGTGTCTCTGCACGCCCTGAGGATGCACGCTGTCAATGAGAGTCAGAGCTGCCAACAACAGCTCTGAGCTACCGCAAGCATCAGTATCCTGTTCTGTCATAGTGTCAGCTTCGATATGTTCTTGACTCTCAGGATAACCAGTTATAAGTATCTCATGCATCCCCATGAGGGCCTGCAAAAGGGTGCGTGGTCCATATTCGCCTGGAGCAAGCGAACCGGGAGGTATGAACGGAGTATCTGGTTCGCCTGCAACGAAGGCCTGAACAAATGCCTGAGACTCCATCTCAATTAAGTCTTCAGTGGTCTGGGGGTATTCTCCCATCAAAGACGGCCTGTTTCCAGGCGGGATTTCGGTCGGAGGTTCGAGGTTCCGTTGAACCTCGGAAGGCGAAGCCTCTATAGTGGTGTCCTCGTCGTCGCTCTCGTAGGCCATGATGCTGCCTGGGTTCCCGAACATCCAGTCGTAGAAAGAAAGAGGCTGGTTTCCCAGCGTACCGTGTTCCACGGGAGTGAGCTCGTTACTGCCCATAACGAACCGGCGGACGTACTCGAGGTAGTACGCGTACAATCCATGACCATACCCCTCGAGCTCGTCGACGTTGTCCATGCCAACAACCCAAGTGAAAAAAAATATCTGCTCCATAGCCTCAAAGTCCTGGAGGCTCAGATACTCAATGGATGGTTCACTTGAGCCAAAATGGACTTCGGTCGACCTGCCCTTTCCATTTCCCTTCACTGGACAATCTCGCACAAGATGATCGGAACTACCACATTCATGGCATTTAAGAACCTGGCCGTCTCTACCTCGCGGGTTTCCCCGCCTACCTTTGCCTTTTCCTGAGGTCTCTCTACGGCCTTTACCACGGCCTTTTCCCCCAAAGAATATCTCATCATGTTGTTCATCTGAGAGCCTCTGGAGAAATGCCGCGATGCCTCGTCCGTTCAACCTCCGACGACCTCGCTTACCTTTACCTTTTCCCTTAAAACTTCTACGTATCCTCCTTCTAACACGACGCACTGGTTTTCGTGTGAACCTCCTCCACCTTCGTTTAGCCTGTTGTAATAACCAGAACAAATGTTCAGCACGCTGATTGTCGTTATCCATATTCATGATATCTGACCAATCTAAAGCTTCAACACCATCTGATGATATAGTGTCTGTATCGGTGCCGGAGTCGAAATCCTCGTCTCCCAAGTAGGTGGATACACCGTCGGTTAGGGGGTTTGCTTCCCCCCAGAAAGAACGGTGTGGTTGTGGTTCTCTAGAAGGAGGGCTGGTTGCCCAGCTTGGTTGTGATCGATCCCCTGCTAATAACGCAGTGGATTCACCTGGGTCATCGGCCCATATGCTTGAGGGCCCGTTTCCAGGCTGGGCTTCAGTAGTCAAGGTAGTGTAGTAATTTCCACTACCAGATCCCCTTCCCCTTCCAAACACAGATCCTATGTTACCAGGAGACCGTTCGGATAGGTGGCCTATCGAACGCATCCTCTCCAGCAACTCATCATACTGTTGTTGTGTTCGGGGCATTTGGTGATTGAGTGGCTGTAAGTGTTGCATGGCTCGCTGGTTGCCGACGCCTAAGGCGCGGAATAGGATAGTGGTTAGCAGTTGGAAGTTGGGAAGGTCGAATCCCACCGATTGTGCCTCAAGTCGGGCCATTTCGAATCGGGTAAGGGTGACATCGATTCGTTCCCCGTGAGGCACGTGGAAGTCGATGAGTTGTGTGCCGGAAGTGAGCTGTCGCTCATCTTCCAGGCGTTCGAACTTCATGCTTAGGAGGAACATGATGTAAGTCACTGGGTCGGTGTGGACCCCATCGATGTCAGCACCATAGTTTATAATGTCAGGCGGTACCCTCATGGCGAGTGTCCTCGCTAGGCACCTAGGCCGCGTTGTATTGCGGCCGCTTGGGCCTGTGGCGTCATACGTCCGCTTGTAACGTTGAGCCATGCGTTGACCTCGTAGATGTACTCACGAAAAAGTACATTACCTTGAGGGTCCCAATATGGGCCATGTGTTTGCCCATCGGTGCTGTTTTCTCCACGACGCATGTGTCCAATTGCTGCCCCCAGCGCGAACCATATAATAGCGAAAACGACTAGCCCGAGAATGTGTAACGAAGGACGGTTATGATGCGCGTTGTCGCGCTGGGGTAGCGCCTTGTCGAGTCTTCGAGGCGCTCTGTCTGGCGGGTCTCCCCGCCCCTGCTTCAAGCATTGCGCTGTTAGCTCGTTGCCGAGCGGTTGGTGGTAACGCAGTGATGAAGCGTATATGGTACCAATCTGGTCGTCTAGACGTCGTACCTCTCGTGTTGCTTCTTGCTCTTGGATAGATCCTCGTAAAAGTACTGGGAGTGGTGGCGCAGGGTGGTAGGTAGTCACGAAGATCGTGCCGAATAATATGAGGCTAAGAAGAGCAAGAGCTGACCACACGAGAGTGCGGCCAGCTCCGCTACCAAGTCGAAAGTGAGCCTGGTAGCTCAAATATGGCATATAGCCTGGCAAATTGCATCCATCGCTCTGCTGTGAAGGTACAGTATGAGGGGTGGATGAGTAAGATAGGATAAGATCGATGTAATAATCTTTCCAGCACATAGCGAACACTCGCGGTGTCCGGGCAAATAGGGCGCGCGTGCCTTGGGCCAAAGGCAACGGCGCGCGAGCTATGCTCCCGATGCTGTAACATCTCCCAAAGAGCTACCCTTAAAGTGAAGGGCGGTGGTGATGATGCTGATAATGATGCGGGAGGAGGGAGGAAGGCGAGGAGGAGGAAGGAGCGAACGCGGGGCGCTGCCTCTTCAGAACGACGAGCCAACTCAACACAGGATGGTTAGGGAAAAATGCAACATCGCAAAAAATCACCACAGGAGCCCCAGACCCCATCTTTCTGCGTCATTTGTCGAGCCAGACCGATCAGTGAGGGTCCCAGGGCCCGAAACTGGACGAAAACGTCCGTGCTGACAAAATGCAACGCCAAAATCTCAGGGGAGCTTAGGGGGGGAACCAGCGACCTGGAAGCGGCGACACGTCGCCGAGAGATCGGCGATGGGCCCCCGATGCAGCGGATCCGCCCGTCCTGGGCGGGGTGGGCCATCGGGCCCCTAAGTGGCCTGCCCCCCCCTAAAAGTACCCCTGACCCTCAGACCTGATTGAAGGGGCCCTGGGACACACAAATAAGTACACACAAATAAAAGGATTCCCCATGTTTTCCCATTCTGGGTTTTTTGTCTTCCCCCCCACTTCCCATATTTTCCCATCTTTTCCTGGGAGTGGACGATAAATTGTGCCTGTGTTTTTTCCCCTCCTGACTGACGTTGCAGAGAAACTGTGCAAATCGCAAAAAATCCACACAGGAGCCCGAGACCCCATCTTTCTGTGTCCCTTGTCGAGCCAGATCGATATGTGAGGGCCCTGGGGCCCGAAACTGGGCGAGAACGCCCGTGGTGAAAAGAAATGCAGCGCCAGGATCCCAGGGTCTTGGCCCCGCTGGGTGCAGATGCCCATCGAGGTGCGGACCCGAGTCGGGCCCGTTGGGGCATCCACCTTCGCAGTGGACAAGGAGGAGGTGGAGGAAAAGGATGGAGGAAGGAGGGAGGGGAAAGGAGGGAAAGCAGGGAGGAGGAAGCAGGAGTAGGGCCCCCCGAAATCCAGACACGTTCCCAAGGACGGGTTTCTCATCCTGAGCCGTTTTTTGACAGCCCCCCGGCCCACGAAGGGCCCCCGGAGGTCCAAAACGGCCAAAAACCTCCCGCCCCTGACTTGTTCGGGACGCGAGCACGTCTGGGTGGCCTGGTCTGGTGCCGGTAGAACAGCCCGTCCTTCAGCATGAACCCCTTGATGCCGAGGTCACAGCCGGGCGCGTCCGCCCCCAGGGACAGGAGCCCTGGCCGCCAGGCGGCCACCTCGAAGGGCAGGGAGGTGGGCACCGCCACCGACGCGTCCGCGAACCAGATGCGGGGGTTGTACAGGAAGATCTTCTCCTGATGGGGCAACGGATAGGTTCGAGAGGAGGAAGAGGAGGAGGAGGAGGAGGAGGAGACAGAAGAGGCGGAGGAGGAGGAGGAGGCAGAGGGGCAACGATAGGTCATTGCACTGTCCTTGCAGACAACAACAACAAAAACAAAAACAGCAGCAACAACAACAACAACAATAACAACAGCAACAGCAACAGCAGCAGCAGCAGCAGCACCAGCAACAGCACCAGCAACAGCAACAACAACAACAACCATTTTAAGGCTGTACGCTCTTACTTGTCCGCGAGTCACTCAACACGTATACCCTACACCCTCGATGCCCGCCCTCTTCGTCTTCGATCACACCCCTTTCGGGGGGATTATTTCTCTTTGCTGGGGCCGGCGGGCTTAGACGTACGGGCAAACCGGAACGGGCAGACAATCCTTCGGGGGCGTACATCTCTCTGCCCAGCATTGGAATTGGCGCGGGCCCTGCAAGAGGAGGAGGGGAAGAACGAGGGAGAGTGGGAGGAAGGGGAGGGGGAAGGACGAAGGAAGAGGGATGATACCACGTTGTGAAGGCGTCCTTGGCGCGCGCGTGGTTCCTGAGCGCCGAAACGCAATTCCAGAATAATTTGTGAGGACGTCGCACGCGAGAGCGCAGTCCTGAGTACATTGTGATGAAATCTCAAACTGAAGCGGGGGCCCTGACTAAGTTGCGAGGAAGTCTCAAGCGGGAGCGCCGTTCCTGAGCAAATTGCACGGAAGTCTCAGGCGGGAGCGGGGGTCCACACTGAATTGCGAGGAAGTCTCAGGCGGGAGCGCCGTTCCTGAGTCAATTGCGCGGAAATGTCAGGCAGGAGCGGGGATCCTGAGTAAAGTTCGAAGAAGTCTCAGGCGGGAGCGCCGTTCCCACGTAAATTGCACGGAAGTTTCAAGCGGGAGCGGGGGTCTTGATTACGTTGCGAGGAAGTCTCAAACGGGAGCGCCTTTCCTGAGTAAATTGCGCGGAAGTCTCAGGCGGGAGCGGGGGTCCTGAGTAAAAATTGAGGAAGTCTCAAGCGGGAGCCGTTGTTGTTGTAGCCCGGGGGGCAGGGGCACAGTTTGAGCAGGAAGACCTTCCCTGGAGAAAAACAAGGTGCGAGCCCCCGCGGGGTGGCACTTTCACCCCCCCCCCCCCCCCCCCCCCCCCCCCCCCCCCCCCCCCCCCCCCCCCCCCCCCCCCCCCCCCCCCCCCCCCTATCGAAAAAAATCAATGTGCACCGGTGGGGGGGGATCAACAATAATTATTCAACAATAATTATTCTTCAAAAGTGAGAATTCAAGAATAATCCGCCGACCCCTTTGGGGTCATCAGGCGTGTGAGATTGTATCCCCTCCCCCCTCACCCCCCTCCCCACCGGACCCATGTCGCGCCCCCCCCTTGGACTTCCGTTTCCATAACGGCCTAATGGAAACGGCACAAGGCGCCCCCGGGGCGGCCCTGGACCCCCCGGCGGTCCCTCTTTCCATAGCGGCCCTATGGAAACGGTGCACGGCGTCCCCGGGGCGGCACCTGGACCCCCCAGTGGTCCCCCTTGCCATAGCGGCCCTATGGAAAAGGTGCACGGCGCCCCCGGGGCGGCACCACGTCCCCCTGGTGGTTCCCCTTTCCACATCGGTCCTATGGAAACAATGCACGGCGCCCCCGGGGCGGCTCCTGGACCCCCCGGTGGTCCACTTTTCCAAAGCGGCCCTATGGAAACGGTGCACTGCGCCCCCTGGCCGGCCCTGGACCCCCTGGTGGTCCCCTTTTCCTGAAATCCTTGAATGAAACGACGCACGGGCCGCTACACTGATACGCCTGGCAACTGCGCGCTGAGAACCCGAGTGTCTTACAGGCTTCGCACACCACTTTGGCTCCTTTTGCCTGTCGATGATATCCCACTTGTTTCTGCTTCAAATGTTTCGTGTCCGAGAACGCTCCTCTGCACGCCGCGCACGTCAGTGGCTTCGCGCCAGGAGACCCCCGAGAGACCGACCAAGAATCCCAAGGGGTCGGCGGTGCGGCGTAAGCCAAAGAATCATTTTAAGGCTGATCGTTCGTATCTGCTCGAGTGTCCGTTAACCCGTATTCCCCAAACTCTCGATACCCGCCCTCTTCGTCTTCGATCGTACCCCTTTTGGGGTATACCTTTCTTCCCTGCAGGCTGGGCCCCGGCAAGCGGCGGGGCGGCCGCGGACCGTCTGCCTGGCCAGCGGCAGCGCTGACCGGCGGCAACCCGACCCCAAGAGGAACGGACAGGGCACCGACCACGACGACGACGTCGACGACGACGACGTCGACGACGACGGCGATGACGACGACGACGACGACGACGACGACGACGACGACGACGACGACGAGCGAAAGCAAGAGCGAGAGCGAGAGAGAGAACGACAGCAGGGCTACGAAGGGCACGAAGTAGGCCGCGAGGGGCGACAGCGGGGACACGAAGGGAATCCGTATGGGGCCACGAACAGCGCGAACGAGCGGGGGCCACAAAGGGCTGATAATGCGGGGCCACAGAAGGCAACACGTAGGAAGGACAGCGAGAAGGCCACAAAGGGCGACAGCGGCGCCACGAAGGGCATGCACAAGGGGCCACGACGGGCGCGAACGAGCGGGGGCCACGAAGGGCATACGTATATTGGGCCGGGGAAAGCAAGGACGGGGCCACTGAGGGCAACAACGAGGCCACGAAGGGCAGCGAGGGGGCCGCGAAGGGCGACAGCGGGGCCACGAAGGGCATGCATATGGGGCCACGACGGGCGCAAACGAGCGGGGGCCACGCAGGGCATACATATATGGTCGAGGGTTTGGGCCCCCCCCCCGAATGCTAGTGCCATCGGCCCCCCCCACCGCGAGATGCCCCCCCCACCCCTGTGGGCGCGGGCGTGGCGTGGTGGCTCCCCCCCCACCCTGTGGATGTGGTGTGGGTGTGGTGTGTTGCTGTTGGTGTATGCGGGGTGACGGCATGGTCCTCCTCCCCCCCTCCCTCCCCCCCTGTGGGTGCGGTTTGTGTGTGCGGCGTGTGGCTGGACTTGGCGTCATGTTGACAGCTCCGGTGCTCGACGTCGCCGCCGCCGCTGGTGGTGCTGTCGACGTCGTCGTCGTTGTCGTCGTCGTCGTTGTCGTTGTCGTCGTTGTCGGTGTCGTCGTCGTCGTCGTCGTCGTCGTCGTCGTCGTCGTCGTCGTCGTCGTCGTCGTCGTCGTCGTCGTCGTCGTCGTCGTCATTGCTGTCGTCGTCGTCCTCCTCCTCGTCCTCCTCCTCCTCCTACTCTTCCCCTTTTCCCACCATCCCATCTGGGGGGTGGGGGGCCCGAGGACCTTGGGACCCATCCCATCTGGGGGGGGGGGGCCCGAGGACCCGGAGCCCGCAATCATGTATGGGGCCACGATCGGCAGCGAGGGGGCCACGAAGGGGTACAACGGGGCCACGAAGGGCAGCGACGGGGCCACGAAGGGCTGCAACGGGGCCACGAAAGGCAACGAAGGGGCCACGAAGGGCTGCAACGGGGCGACAAAGGACAGCGAGGGGACCACGAAGGACTGCAACGGGGCCACGCAGGGCAGCGAGGGGGCCACGAAGGGCTGCAACGGGGCCACGAAGGGCAGCGACGTGGCCACGAAGGGGTGCAACGGGGCCACGACAGGCAGCGAGGGGGCCACGAAGGGCTGCAATAGGGCCATGAAAGGCAGCGAGGGGGCCACGAAGGGCTGCAACGGGGCCACGAAGGGCAGCGAGGGAGCCACGAGGGCCACGAAGGGCAACGAGGGGGCCACGAAGAGCTGCAACGGTCCAATAAGGGCACCGAAGGGGCCACGAAAGGCTGCAGCGGGGCCACCAAGGGCAGCGAGATCCCGATTCCCAAATAATCTGCGAGGGAGTCCTAAGCGTGCGCGCGACTCCTGGGCGCCCGAGTGTCGGGAGCGCGGCGCTTGAATAAATTGCAGGAAGTTCCAACGCAAGGGCGCTAATCTCGAGTATACTTGCAAACTGTCTCCAGCAAGAGCGCGACTCCAGAGCGCCGAGAGAGCGATCCCTGAAAAAAATAAACGGAAGTCCCAAGCGAGAACGCGATTCGCGAAAAAATGCCAGGAAATCTCGGGCGGGGACGGGGGCCCTGGCTAAATTGTGAGGAGGTCTCAGGCGGGAGCCGCAGCTGTAACCCAGGGGCCAACAACGCAGTTCGAGGACGATGACTTTCCCTGATAAACAAAACAAGGCGCGAGCGCCAGGAGGGGCACTTCCATCAAAAAATGCTGCGTGCGCTGGGGGGGATCAACAATAATCATCATGCACTAATGAGAAACCAACAACAAGAACAACGACGACAACAACAACAACAACCATTTTACCTTCATGCGCCAAGCTCCCACATGTCACACGCATCCTTCCGGATACCACACCCCATCGCGGTGGATTTTTCCGGCATGCGGGGCCCGATATTCCCTCGCCCAGATCTCCCACCCAAGAACGCATCGCCACCACCTCCTCCGAGGAAATTCGACATCCACAGCTCGGACGGCACATCGCCATCGCAATCGCTCTGCGCACGCCCCGCATCTCGGAGGAGGAAGAGGAGGACGACGACGAGGGGAGGGAAGATGAGAGAGAGGAAGAGGGGGAAGAGGAGGAGGAGGCAGCACCTCCGAGGACGAGGTGGTTCTTACTCGTTCGAACTGTTACGCCACCATCCTGCGGCCTCGGCGCGTGGCCCTGATCGTTCACGCCCCCAGGCGCTGCCGCCCCCATGCTCGCATCCTCCACCTGCCCCTCTCCACGCATTGTCAAGAAATCCCTGAGGTCAAACCTTCAACCCGCGATCCTTGGAGTCCATAGAAGTCATCCGTCCTCCTTTTTCTCCTGCTCCACATTATCTATACTCTCCAAAAGTGATAGTTATCCAATAATTAAGGTTCAACAGGGACTCGTAGAAGCCCCCCGGAGTAGAAAGGTGAGGAAGTATCAAACGGGATCGACGAGGGAGGACGGAAGGGGAAG